CCTCTTTTCATAATATTCCTTTTAGTAGGTAGTCTATCAAGGCATAATCTCCATCCAAAGAAAGACACTTTGGATGGCACTAATCGACACCAAATAATCTTGCACAAATGGTCCTCTAAAATACTCTCTGTAGAGGCTAAAAATTCATAAGCCTTCCTCACTATGAAAATTCCTCCCGAATCATGAGTCCACCTCCAAGAATCTTTCACCCCCTTCTTTAATTGAAAACTATCCAGCACCTCCCTCAACACCTCCTCCTCATCCTTCTCTCGTCCTATTCTCCCTCTCCTCCATTCCAATTTCCAACTCCATTTTTCCCCTTCCCATACCCCCAAGTCTCTAATGTTACCTAACTTATTCTTAGATAGCTCATATAACCTTGGGCATAAATCCCGTAAATTTTTATTCCCGACCCACAAATCTCTCCAAAAGCTCACCCGTTTCCCTTCCCCCACTTCCCACCTAAAACCCTCCACCAACATATTTTTAAGCCTTCTAGAACGACCCCCTACGCTGATAATATCTCTCCAGATTTTTGACGTCTTCCAATTCCCAACAGCTGTAATGTCTACCTCCTCTCTCTTGCCCCCATAATATTTCTCCGTTATTATCCGTTTCCACAAGCTCTCCACATCCTCTCCAAACCTATACCACCACTTACCTAGCAAAGCCCAATTCTTCCTACGAAGATCCGCAACTCCTAAACCCCCTTTTGCCTTACTCCCACACACCTTATCCCATTTCACCCACGAGATTTTCCTCTGTCCCTCTACCCCTCCCCATAAAAAATTTCTCTGAATACTAATCAATTTACTCATCACAGAATTTGGAATTAAGAACAGCGACATATAAAAAATGGGTAGAGCAGAAAGTACCGAATTAAGCATAGTGAGGCGGCCACCAAAGGACAGCGAAGTAGCTTTCCAGACAGCAAGTTTGTTTCGAAATTTATTAACAAGCGGCTCCCATAACCTCTTGTTCCCAGGATTTCCATCAACAGGCATACCCAAGTAACAAAAGTGAGATTTCCCAACTCCACATCGCAACATGCTGGCTGCTCCTTCAACCCATCTCTCTGACACATTATACCCATAAATGTTGCTCTTGCTAAAATTAATTTGCAGACCAGACATTAGTTCGAACCATCTCAGAATTGTTTTGACCATAAAAATATTCTCTGTGTCAGCTTTTCCCATAATTATAGTGTCATCTGCGTATTGAAGTAAAGAAATAGCTAATCCCCTCCTGCCAATCTCTATACCTTTCAACAAGTCCTCCGACACTGCTTTTTGGACCAGTCCATTTAATCCCTCTCCAATCATCAAAAATAAGAATGGAGAAAGCGGATCACCTTGTCGAAGCCCTTTTCCAGCTTTGAACTCCTCTGTTGGGCTGCCATTAATTAGAACTGACATTCTAGAAGTCGACAAGCACTCCATGATCCAACCTCTCCACTTTATTCCAAATCCCAATCTGTCCATCATCCATTCCATAAATGTCCAATCCACACAATCATATGCCTTTGCAAAATCAGCTTTAAAGATAAAAGCCGGCTGTTTCCTTCTTTTAACTTCCTCCACCACCTCGTTCAACACCAAGACGCCATCAACTAATTGACGTCCTCCCAAGAAAGCTGATTGAGATTCACTGATTATCCCTGGTAGTACAGCTTTAAGTCTATTAGCCAACACCTTTGATAACAATTTATATATACATCCGATCAGGCTAATGGGTCTATAATCCTTTAAATTCCCAGCGTTAAGCTTTTTAGGAATTAAGGTTAGAAAAGATGAGTTCAAACCACTAACCAATCTACCATTCCTATGAAACTCTTGAAAGAAGCTCATAAAATCCTCCTTTAGACTATTCCATGCAAACTTGAGAAAAGAGAAATTATACCCGTCTGGGCCCGGAGCTTTAGACCCTTCACAACTTCGCAATCCTTCTTCTATTTCCTCGATGGAGAAAGGACGTTCTAGCCACTGTTTGTCCTCTGAAGAAATCTGCTTGAAGTTAACCCCTTGAGGCTTTGGTCTATTCCACGTATCTCCTTGAAAAAGTTTGCTAAAATAGTTAACCACCTCCTTCTTAACTTGTGCTGGTTCTTCCACCCATACACCATCACACCATAAACCTGTGATGCGGTTTTGGGCCTTTCTCCCATTTGCAATTCTATGGAAGAATCGCGTGTTTGCATCTCCTTCACGAACCCAATTACTTCTTGACTTCTGTCTCCAAATCACTTCTCTCTTCCTCAAAATATCCCACACATTCTGAAATCCTTCTTGTCTATGTAGAATCTCAAATTCATCCAAATCAGCATCTTCATTTTTCAAATCAACATGCTCCACCTTTTTAACCACCTGTTCGTATTGAGCTTCCATGTCCCCAAACACATCTCGGTTCCACCCCTTTAAAAAGTCTTTCAGCTTCTTTAGTTTCTGTTTACACTTATACCCTGCAAATCCATCGACCTCCATTGCACTCCACTTTTCCTCGATAACCTTCTTAAAATTCGGATGAAGTTGCCAAGCATCCAAAACCCGGAATGGCCTTGGTCCCCAATCCACTGTTCTTGTTTTCAACACGATTGCACAGTGATCAGAAATATTTCGTTTCAGGCCCTGTTGCACCCACTCTGCACTCATACTGTACATCTCTGCATTCATCAAAGCTCTATCCAATCTGCTCATGGCTGAGCCATCTGATCTATACCATGTGAAACGCCTATTAGCCATTTTAATATCTATTAATCCAGCTGATTGGATAAACCCGTCGAAATCCTTCATATCTGGGCTCTCCCCTGATCTTCCCCTTCTTTCCTCAAGGCATCTAACAGCATTGAAATCTCCCGCAATCAGCCACCGTCCTCCCTCTTCTGTGATCATGATCCTTAACTCATCCCATAACTTTAGCCTTTTCTGTCTATCATTTGGACCATAAACATTCACTAGATTATACTTCATCTTATGTATTCCCCACTCCCCTGATATTCTCAAATACCCATCTCCCGTGGAGTCTCCTGTCTTAGTGAAGTACTCCTTATTCCAAAAACACAATAATCCTCCTGAAGCTCCTATCGATTCCTTCATTACCCAGCCAAATTCTCTCGAATCCCACATCATCCTACACATATTGTCATCCACCTTTTCTAACTTAGTTTCTTGCAACCATAGAAAGTCCGGTTGTTCCATTCTCACCAATTTTCCTACTTCCCTCCTCTTCAACATATTGCCCAAACCCCTAACATTAAAAGACACTAACTTCATTAACTATAAATGCTACCCACACCCACTCTACCAACTACCCTACCTATTAATCTCGCTTCCCCTTTCGCTCCCCTGCTTCCACCCTCTCTTCCAAATCAAACAATCGGGACTGCACTTCCTCTTCATTATCTTGAAATTGAATGCCTAAACTCTTTCCTACGCTCATCATCTTCCTCACCTCATGCAAGATCAACTCCTTTCGAATTATGTTGTTTCTAAATTCTATACAGCCATCAGACACAGAACAGCAACCAAGTAGATTTACCTGGCTCGCTGCACCCGGAATCAGATCTGCTTTCCTTCTCTGATGCCGCTTTGAACTCGATTTTGCCCCCTGCATCTTTGATGTCCGAAGCACCGTGCCCTTTTCTGGGTAGCATTCTTCTATTTGTCTTCGCCGTCTGCCCCCTGTTTCCTTAAACTCCAGATCACGGTTTGTAGATGAAACCCCTTCTAAAGCCACTTTAGGCCCTTTCTTTCCAACTCTTGTCATCTCTCCTTGACTATCAGCCCATCCCTTGTCACTATTATCACCCAACCCACTTCCTTTTTCTCCCACCGGCCCACTGTCCTTATATGGCCCATTATCCTTGGATGGCCCACTACCCACTTCTCTTCTGATCCCTTTTTTTGCTTCTGCATCTTCACTTTCCATTTCTACCACTATATTTTTCAAATTTGAATTTGCCTTGCCGGGATTTTCCTTCATTAATTGCTCTTCATTAATGCTAACGTCTTCTTCGTCGCACATATCAAGATTGATCCAATCCTGATCTTCCTCATTACTCTGTTCCGATGAAGACTCCGAATCCGTTACTGACATATTCCGCCGGTCACCGTCTGTCAGCCACCAATCTGGGTCGGAGCGCCATTCTTCCTCAACCACTTGTATCCCATACCATTTTCCTTCTACTTTCAGATCAATCTGTTTAGAAATCTTATGCTCTGCACCACATATGACTAGAATTCGCCCATCACAAAGAATTGATTTTGCTGACGTATCCTCATGAATCTTCACCACCTCACCCACTGATTCTCCGATCATCTTGAAGCATCTATCGCTCCAGGCCTTCAACGGTATGCCATTGATGCGTAACCAAGCCATTCTGCTTCTATCCTGACCTTGCTTATCCCATGGAAGGATATCTTCAAACCACAAGGCGAATAATTCCTTATTATGGGTCATAAATTCAAGTAAATATCCCGGTTCATGTTCGGATAGTAGTACTCTCCTTCCCCCTAATGGTGAGATCGTGATTAACCCACCATCTACCTCAATTTTCTGCTGCACATCTTTTACTACTGATAATGATTTCACAACCGCCACTAAGCTTCCTTCAAGCCACTGAATCTCTTCCTGCTCCGGAATGAATTCCATTTTTTCCTTTTGAGGTTCCACCCTTCTGTACTCCGTCATACCTTTTTTGCCAACTAATCTGTCGCTGGATGCCACTTCCTCCTTCCTGATTAGTTGTCTCGCTTGAAATGGTTCTTTTACCGTTTGGATGATGCCCCTGTCTTCCCCTTCCAGCGATCCTGAACAATCCGGCCGATCTTGGAGATTCTGATTCTTTCCCTTCACCACCTGAGCATAAGATTGTCCTGGCTGTACCTTCCTGTCTTCTCTATGTTGTTTACTGTCTCCCATAACTTTATCTTTTACTCTTGCGTTACTTCTTTCCTCTGCTATCTTCACTCGCAATTTGTATGAACCAAACCAGATATCATTCAGTCTCCTCACCATCTGGTAATCGTTCTGCACCCCTATCATGCGTAGAAAGCCAAATCTCTTCCCCCGTTTGTCACGCTTCTTTGGTACATACATATCTACCACTTTTCCACACCTCTGAAAGCTGAACCATAACTCTTTCTCCTCACAATTTTCAGGGAAATTGTAGAAGAAAAACGTCTTAGTCTGTCTTATAAGCCTGTGATCTAATCCCGGAATCCACCGCCTGTTCCCCTGCCGCTGTCTGGTGCCGCTTGCTTCCCTTGTCGCCGCTCCTCTCGCTCTGGTCCTCATACCTCAAGCTGAGAAAGGGGGAATTTTTGTAGCTGGATTGTTTTTTGCCATTGTTGACTTTTTTTTAGCAAGATTGCAATTTTGTTTCACTAATGGCCACATCAATATCCATGTCATCACTTAATAGAATT